AACGCTACTCAGAACTACTGGGACATTCAAAAAATTATCCGATGTGTTACTAGGAAAAAATAATTAGATCAAAAATTTTTTGAGAATACTGAGCAGGTCTGGTCTGAGTTCAGGATAGTTCTCGACGAGTTCTCTCAAAAACTATAAGGTGCAAAAGCGATTAGATCAACGGTTCGCAATATATAGCACCATTTGTCAGAAAATCAACAATCCTTAGTGTGAGTATTTCTTAAAAACCGTTGGTCCAATCGCTTTGAGCCCTTAGACTTTTCGACGGAACTTCTCGAGAATTATATGAAACGCTACAAAGAGCTGCTGAATCTCTCAGAAATTTTTCCGGTGTTGTTCATGAAAATATATTTAGGTCAATAACTTTTTGAGACTACTGAGTAATTTTTTTCGGTTTTCTGCATAGTTCTCGATGAGTACCGTTGAAATGTATAATGGCTAAAAGCGATCGGACCAACGGTAACTGAGATACACTCACTAAAAGAATTGTTGATCTTCTGCAATATGTTGCTATATATTGCAAACCGTTGGTCCAGTTGCTTTTGCATCTAATAATTTTCGATAGAGCTCATCGAGAACCATAAGAAAAACCACTCAGAACTACTGGGACATTCAAAAAATTATCCGATGTGTTACTTGGAAAAAATATTTAGATCAAAACTTTTTGAGATTACTGAGCAGTTGTGGTCAGAGTTCTAGATAGATCGCGACGAGTTCCGTCGAAAACTATTAGGTGCATAGGCGATTAGACCAACGGTTTGCAATATATAGCGCCATTTGTCATAAAATCAACAATTCCTAGAGTGAGTATATCTTAAAAACCGCTGGTCCAATCGCTTTGAGCTCTTAGACTTTTCGATGGAACTTCATGTGAATTATATTAAACGCTACAAAGAGCTGCTGGATCTCTCAGAAAATTTTCCGGTGTTGTTTATGAAGATATTTTCAGGTCAGTAATTTTTTGAGAGTACTGAGTAATTCTTGTCGATTTTCTGCATAATTCTCGATGAGTCCCGTTGAAATGTATGATGGCTCAAAACGATCGGACCAACGGTTACTGAGATACATTCACTATAAAAGTTGTTGAGCTTCTGCAATATGTTGCTTTTTCTTGCAAACCGTTGGTCCAGTTGCTTTTGCATCTAATAATTTTCGATAGAGCTCATCGAGAACTATAAGAAAAACCACTCAGAACTACTGGGACATTCAAAAAATTATCCGATGTGTTACTAGGAAAAAATATTTAAAACAAAAATTTTTTAGAGTACTGAGCAGTTGTCGACGGAGTTCTGAATAGTTCTGGACGAGTTCCGTCGAAAACTATTAGGTTGGAAAGCGATTACACCAACGGTTTGCAATATATAGCATCATATTGCAGAAGATCAACAGTTCTTATAGTGAGTGTATCTTAAAAACCGTTAGTGCAATTGCAGGACGAAACGCCAACTTGTGATATTCTTCGTAATCTTATTTTTCACAGTTTTCAATTATCATTACTATAATATTAAATTTTAATATATGTCTTTCAACATATTATTAAGATCTAATAAGATGCTATAAGCATCGAAATTTGTTAGATTGATTGTCAATCTAACTAAAGTGATATTACCGCGGTAGTTATTTAGAGTTGCGTTGTAGGTCTGAAGAAAAATGTTCGGCACGCGATTGAGAGAACTACATACGCGATATATAAATTCACACATAATGATAATAACAACGACATATATATCTAGACCAAGCATTCTCATGCCTTTTTGGTGGTGGGGGTGAAGCCGGAAGTTGGCAGAATACGACTGAGAGAGATAGTTCGTTTGGATTCTTACTATCTCATTTTATCTTGCGGCAAGATGGCCGATGCTGTCACGACTTGATAGAATACGGTAACCTAGAATAAATAACCTATAATAGATATACGGTATAACCTATAAAATAACTTGTACCAATTTCAGTGTTGATTTGTGTTGAAGACAAATTAATAATGAATTGTTGCATTTGCAAAACTAAGTTTGGTGATGGACCAAACTTTCACAGGTATACGAAAATATATATATTATACTTTTGTATTTGTATTGGTTGTGTGCTCACATTAATGGTCTTTAGTATTGAATATTATATATATTTTATTTTTAATTATTGAAATTTATTACTCAATTTACAAAATTAATCTTTTAATTTAATTATAATTAATTTAAGGTTTCCAAAAATTGAGCCTCGAAGGCAACAATGGCTAACAGCAATTAATAAACATATTGAAAACTTTACACCTATTGCAAACGCACGTATATGTAGCCAGCATTTTTCAAAGGATTTTTTTCTGCTAACATGTAATGGAAAAATTTATTTAAAAGCTAATGCTGTATCTAGCATCTTTAACATGCCTGTAAAAACATATTTAAAAATTAACAAACCAGTAAGTATACAATTTTATCTTTGATTAAATAACGAATGAAAAACGTAAAAAAATCACATATTAATTGCATTTTTTTATTTTGCTCTAAAAATAGTTACGAGAATGTGACAAATTTAATATTAATTGTGAGAACTCTTCAATTGAGCCTTCAACAACGAGTAATACTTCTCACAGGTAAAATAAACACGAACTTAGCTATATTCATATCTGTTCGTGGTTGTGTGAACCGCTGCTTCGATCTCGACTGAGATCTCAAATGACGGAATGGATTTGTGGACTGGAAGATTGAGACCACTGAGCACTCCTCTTTTAACTTGTTGTATGCAAGCTTTATTCACAAGTAAACGAAGTGTTGTTCGCGTGGCACGGCGAAAGAGACGATTAACTGCTGTTAATACGCCGAGACTCATACACGACGGTAGCCGTGATGAGACGTACAAAAGTAACGAGTCGCGGTAGCGAACCCGTAGAAAGAAAGCTGCTGCTTTCAACAAGGAATTTGAGAGCACGACTTGACACGGCAAGTACTGAATTGTGTCTGAGGGGAGAATCGCGCTGCGCGATTAGCGCGACGAATCGGCAGGACGACAGCGACATCGGTATCCAAATATGCGGCTAAATTGTAGTAATGATATTCGCAAGACGGCGCGGTGAGTGCGACGAAAGATTCGGACAGAATCGATGGATGGCGCAATCGATCCTTTATTCGGCTTTTGTAGCGCGAAACTTATCCTATTCCGGAACATACCGCCCGCCTCGGCTAGACTAGTCGAAACACGATTATTTGATGCCGCCCGCCGTGCCAATCGAGTTTAAAACTATATGATACATGACGCTTTACACTTACTTAGATTTAGAAAGATATGAAACATACATAGAAATATTTACATAGAGAGGTATACGAGAATATGAACTTATTATACAGTAAGTTCGAGCGAACGGAGTTCGATCAATGAATGCCACGAAAGGAAATCGATCATGTGGACGTTTCGTTTAAATCAACGGGTAAGAAACATAGTTTCACTATGGAACGTTTATACGTCGATTTTGACGTTTTCACAGTGACGACGCGCGTTAGTCCGTCGTCTCCGGTGTGGCATTCAATGATACGACCGAGTTCCCACTTGCACGGTGGTGCAAGGGGATCGCGCAAAAGAACTAGGCGTCCGACTCGGGCGAGTTTTTGAGCGACGCGCCATTTTGAGCGCTGTTGTAATCCGGTTAAATAATCATTTGACCATGCTTTCCAAATAACTTCGCTTTTTTGCTGCACGAGTTGCCAGCGAGTCAGGCGCGTTTCTTTTGTTTCTAGTAGCGTAGGAGATGGCGGCGTTGTGAGAGCGCTACCAATTAAGAAATGACCCGGTGTCAGACATGAATAATCATCAAGATTATCTGACATCGGAGCTATCGGACGTGAGTTGAGGCACGCTTCGATTTGATAGAGCAGCGTCGTAAGCTCTTCGAATGTCAGCGTGTGTGAACCGATAACGCGTTTGAGATGATATTTGACGCTGCGAACGCCGGCTTCCCATAGGCCTCCGAAGTGAGGCGCGGAAGGGGGAATGAAGTGCCAACGGACACCGTCGCACGACAGTTTGCTTCGCAAGTTTGAATCTTGTTTTGCTGCATGAATTGCAGCTTTCAATTCGCGATCAGCTCCGCGAAAATTCTTTGCGTTATCGGAATATAAATCGGTCGGCATCCCGCGCCGAGAGCAGAAGCGCGCGTATGCTGCGAGAAACGCGGCGGTAGTATAATCGCTGACTAAATCGAGATGTATTGCGCGCGTCGTCATACAGACGAATACGGCAATGTAGGCCTTCTGAGATTTGTATCCACGGCCTGAATTTAATCTGACAGGAACGGGCCCGGCATAGTCAAGTCCGCAATGTAAGAATGCGCGATCGACTTGTCGAATGCGCATTGCCGGGAGATCGCCCATGAGTTCACTGGGGATAACCGCCTTTTCGCGCGTGCAAGTAATGCAACGATACAAGACGGCTCGCACAGTTTGACGAGCGCGAAGAATCCAAAATTCTTCGCGTAAAACACATAATGTTAGTTGCGTGCCCGCGTGGAGCGAACGCAGATGAGCGTGTTGAATTATCAACGTAACGAGTGGATGTGCTGCTAGAATGAGAGGACATTTAGCGTTATATGAAAGGTCGGATTTTCGTAATCGACCGCCTACGCGAATTAAATCATCGTCATCCAAGAATGGATTAAGTGAGATTAGTTTGCTAGTTTTCGCTACGGGTTTCGAATTTTTTAATCGACGCACATCATCGAGAAAAAGATTTTGTTGAATGACGCGTAACCAAAATAGTCGCGCGTGTTTGTATTCGTCCACCGAAATTATATCGGATGGAATAGAATCGGATTCGTCGTTTGACGACCGCTTTTTGTATATACGATTTCGAAGCTTATTAATAAAGCGGATTAGATAGGCCGTTATGCGAAGAAGCTTCGGCCATGAAGAATAGCGGGAAGCTAAGTCCCATTGAGATTCGATATCGAGAGTTTGTACGACGAGGGTCGAACGTTTTTCGAGCGAGGTGTCGTGATCTTGCCGAGATTCATTCGGCCACATACTTGAAGGAAGCTTGAGCCACTCGGGGCCTTGCCACCACAGTGAGCTCTCCGCGAACGAGGAAGCGGTAACTCCGCGTGATGCTAGATCCGCGGGATTCTGATGAGTCGGAACATGATGCCACGTGGCATCAGGTATTAGAGTTTGCACATCGTGCACTCGATGCGCGACAAACGTTTTCCATCGAGATGGAGATTGGCGTAGCCAAGCGAGAGTGACGGTTGAATCCGTCCAGCAATGACATGGAATTGTCGAAAGTTCTAATGTCGTTCTGGCAAACGACATTGTTCGTGCTAAAAGCGCAGCAGCGCATAGTTCGAGTCTTGGAATTGTCAAGGGCTTAAGAGGCGCGACTTTTGATTTTGCTATTAATAGCGAAACAGTAACTGATCCCATGAGCGAGATCACTTTAAGATATATGACAGCGGCGTATGCGACGGACGATGCGTCAGCGAAGCCGTGAAGCTCATAGTAACTTGTGTCGGAACCGAAGGCAGTCGCAAAGAGATATTACGCAGTTTAATTAGCTGCGTGTGATAATTGTACCATTTCTGCATGAGCGGGGGTGGAATTTGATCATCCCACGAACACTTAGTAGCCCACAATTGTTGCATGATAATTTTAGCAGTAATTATGACCGGAGCAAGCCACCCGAGCGGGTCAAATAATTTTGCTATAGTAGACAGAATTTTCCGTTTAGAATCTGGGATGGACGTGGTAACTTCGACTGAAAATTGGAATGTATCGGTTGCAGGGAGCCACGTGACGCCTAAGACTTTGAAACTTTCGTCGCTTTGCAGAATTTTGCCTTGACTGAGACTCTTTTCATTGACCGGTAGGTCGTTGAGTAACGTAGGGCAGTTGCTTGCCCACTTACGGAGGAGGAATCCACCTTTTTATAACAATGAAATTAATTGATTGCGGATTTGCCTTGCAAGCGACTTGTCATCCGCGCCGAATATGCAATCATCTACATAGATTTGATTGCGTAAAACTGATTGAGCAAGAGGAAATTGAGCGCCTTCGTCTTGCGTCAATTGCTGAATCGTGCGAAGAGCGAGGTATGGAGCACACGCCATACCGTAAGTAACAGTAAGCAAGCGGTAGTCTTGCACCGCTTCGGATGATGAAGAGCGCCATAAGATGCGCTGATAATCTTGATCTCGCGGATCGACTTGAATCTGCCTATACATTTTTGCGATATCGGCAGTGAAAACATAACGATGTTGTCGCCATCGAAGAATTACCGAACGAAGGTCGGTTTGTAACTTAGGACCGATCATGAGATGATCGTTAAGTGAAGAGCCGTTCGATGTCGACTGAGATGCATTGAACACGACGCGCAACCGCGTGGTGCTGCTATGCTCGCGAATCACCGCATGATGCGGGATGTAAACTGATTGTGAAGCAGAGACGGGTTCGTCTACTTTCTTCATATGACCGAGATTTTCGTATTCCAGTAGGAACTCTCGATATTCGGATGCGATATCCCTTTTATTTTGAAGACGGCCTTCAAGCCGTGAAAGAAGTGATGAGGCGATGTGACGAGATTCGCCTATTGCAATCGGAGGATTGGCTTTGAACGGTAGCCGTACGACGTACCGTCCATTAGAGTCACGAGAATGAGTTGCTCGGAAATGTTCCTCACAACGTTGTTCCTCAGGAGTGAGGTATGATACTTGCGGAAGTTCTTCGACTTCCCAGAACTGACGAATTTCGTCATCGAGATTGTCGTGCAACGTGGTATGATTAACTGTCACGTTAGACATGTTTGAAGACGAACTCGTCGAAATCGGACCAGACATGATCCAGCCGAAAATGGAATTCTGAGCTGTTGGCTGATTAGAGGAACCTGAGCACAGGCCCGGTAACAGAACAGCACCGTATAGATCAGCGCCGATGATCATTTCGATCGGATCGGCACTTGAGGGCTGCGGATCAGCCCATGGCAGGCCGCTTAAATGAGCGAGAGAGATTTGATATGCTATTTTAGGCGGCGTGTATTTAGTCAGAGAGCGCATAATAATTGCGGTCGTTGAGTATGACGGACCCTTGCCGGTCTTAGATGATACCGAAATAAGAGCAGCATGTCGTGCGACGGATTGCGTTTCACCGATTCCGGTAACCGAGACAGCAACGCGTGTTCGCGATAACCGTAGCCGTTGAGCGAGATTTTCACTAATTAAACTAGTGACAGATCCTTGATCTAACAATGCGCGTATGACATCTGTGCGACCAGACGAAGAACACACCTGAATCCGCGCGGTAGCTAATAGAACACGAGATTTGTCAAATGTTGTTTTCGTAATTAAATGTGAAACGACGTTGTTTTCATTTGACGTATTCGTTTCGTTGGATTCAAGGGAATTCTCGGTCGCGCTTGATGTCGTCGCTTCGTGAAGCATCGTATGATGCCTTTGTTGGCATTGACGACAGTTATGTTTACTCGGACATGTGTTCGCGAAATGTCGAGCGCTTAAACAGTTGAGACATCGTTTAAATTTGACAATAAGATCGCGACGCTCGTTAACTTGTTTCTTCTTGAAATCAGGACATACTGACAAGAGATGGTCTTGTTTACAAAGCGGACAATGAGCTCTGGTAGCGGTCGTCGTGTGACTTTGCACGGACGACTTGCTCGGTTTTGTTTTGACCGTACTGGTCGTTGGAATATTCTCGAACGCTCGAATTCGCGATGCGAGAAAGTTATGAAGATCCGTATACGACGGATATTCCATTTTATCGCCTAAATGTAATTCCCATGCTTTACGCGTGGCTTTATTTAATTTTTGCACGACTAGATAGACGAGCAAATCGTCCCACCACTCAACTGGACGACCGAGATTTTTTAACGCTTGAATTGACATATTAGCTTTATCTCGAAGCGACATAAGATCCTGCGCGGAATCGGTATTAACGGCCGGTAGCGTATGAAGCGTATGAATATGTTCCGACACTAATCGACGTTTATTATCGTAGCGCGCGAGCAGTACATTCCACGCGATTTTAAAATTAGCTTCGGTCAAAGGGAGATTACGCAACGCGTCGCGTGCTTCGTCCTTTAAACATGAATAAAGGTATTGCAAGCGCGTAACATTCGACAACTCGGCATGATCGATAATCATGGAGCGGAATTGATCGCGAAACGTTTCCCATTCCCGTAAATCGCCGGAGAATTTCGGCAAATTAATGCGCGGTAATGTAAGAGTTTTTTCGGATTTCTGTGATTGACTCACGGATAACCCTGGACTTGATGGCGCTTGATCTGCTTCGAGAGAGGCGAGGGCGTCGGAGATGTAGTCCGATGCTGCGAGATAGGCGTCCTCCAATTCGATGTAGACATCCTCCTTGAAGTATTTCTCGGTATCCTTTTGTTCCTTGGTGGCGACTTTGAGCAGTTGTGCGTGCAGGAGCTCGCATCGAGCGTAAGTCTCCTTGAGAGTTTGAAGGCGATTCCGAACTATGCCGTACGTGTGATTTGCACGGCCGATCTTCTTAAAGTTTTCCAATGCGCGTGTGACAGAGCGCATAGCTAATCGCTGCTGCGATAGTAATTCTTCCATTATGAGTTTGAGAGGTTTCCGTAACTTGGTATGCTCGAAACGGAAATCTTGCGATGTGCCACGTCACTTACGTTCACGAAAGTGAACGAAGAGTCACAATGTCCCTTGTTGTTTATCCGCCACGAATCCGGCTCGAAGGACCAGAATGTTCGTGGTTGTGTGAATCGCTGCTTCGATCTCGACTGAGATCTCAAATGACGGAATGGATTTGTGGACTGGAAGATTGAGACCACTGAGCACTCCTCTTTTAACTTGTTGTATGCAAGCTTTATTCACAAGTAAACGAAGTGTTGTTCGCGTGGCACGGCGAGAGAGACGATTAACTGCTGTTAATACGCCGAGACTCATACACGACGGTAGCCGTGATGAGACGTACAAAAGTAACGAGTCGCGGTAGCGAACCCGTAGAAAGAAAGCTGCTGCTTTCAACGAGGAATTTGAGAGCACGACTTGACACGGCAAGTACTGAATTGTGTCTGAGGGGAGAATCGCGCTGCGCGATTAGCGCGACGAATCGGCAGGACGACAGCGACATCGGTATCCAAATATGCGGCTAAATTGTAGTAATGATATTCGCAAGACGGCGCAGTGAGTGCGACGAAAGATTCGGACAGAATCGATGGATGGCGCAATCGATCCTTTATTCGGCTTTTGTAGCGCGAAACTTATCCTATTCCGGAACAATATCATTTTTATTCTCCCTAATTTCAAGATATTTATTGCTTACTTGTGGACATGTTATACAGTGAAACGTTGGACATCACAGTAATAGAAAAAGAAAATATCAATGTACATCAGCAACAATCATACATAGAGAATTTAAAAACCACTATAAACATGGAAGAGAATCAAAATAATTCATACAGACAAAGTGCCTTTATTTCTAAGAAGCATACAACTAAATTTGGAATCATACAGAGGTAAAATAATAAAACATCAGTATTATATAATAATTGAATACTTTTTTGATATTTTTCTGATTTAAACCAACGGCATATGATTTTTTCTTGCTGAATTGTTTGCATTTTAGCAAATTACTAAAATTGGATCATACAGAACTCAGAAACAGTAATAATTTATTAAAATGCAAGCAATCCAGCAAGAAAAAATGCATAGTAAAAAGTCTATGGTAGTTTATTTACGGCACTTTACATACATAATATAAATGTTTTTGTTATATAGTTCACCTCTTGATATTTCAACAACCACAGAGGAAATAACTTTGCAGGAAGAGCTTTGTAAAGAAAGAAAGATTAATGCAAAATTTAAAAAAAAAGTAAAAATCTTGCAACAAAGGAACAGACGAATACAAAAAAGAATAACATCTATGTCATTACTTTTAAAGCATTTGCAAGACAGAAAACTTTTATCAGAAGATGCTGCAGAAATGTTACAAGTAAGTTGTACAAATATCTGTCATACACATACATGATATAATGAATGAATTACAAAGAAATAAATTTTGTGTATGGAAAGCATATAGATTGATATGTAAGTATACTATATATGTGCTTTGCACATGTACTCCTTATACTAATTTTTAAAAAATGTATGGATTAATGAAGAAGATATTTTGACATTCTTAATTAACAGATGAATGTTTCAATGACGGAAAAAGAAATAATAAAGAGACACTTGAGTAGAAAAAGAAAAAGACCTTTTCCTACAGCAATTAAAACGTTTGCCGCAACGTTACAATTTTATTCCACGAAAGCCTATGAATACGTTCGGAAAACCTTCTTAAACATTTTGCTACATCCACAAACAATTAAAAAATGGTATTCATCTATTGATGCCAAACCTGGCATAACATTGGAAGCATTAAGAACAGTACAAGCAAAGATAAATGAAGCAGCAGCAGTTGAGAAAATATTATATTTTAGCTTAGTTATAGATGACATGTCGATAAAAGAAGAAATAGAAATTGAAGATGATAAATATTATGGGTACGTAGATTTCGGAACAAATCCAGAAAACAATGATAGTATACCAAGAGCAAATCATGCTTGTGTTCTTCTCCTGGTATGTATCAATGGAAATTGGAAAATACCCGTTGCATATTATTTTATAAAATCTTTAAATGGCGCAGAAAGGGCAAATGTAATTGAACAAGTTCTTGCATCATTGCATGAAGTAGGTGCAAAAGTACTTAATGTTACTATGGACGGTACTGCAAGCAATATTTCTACTGCACGATGTTTAGGTGCAAATATAGCGGCACAAGACTTAAAACCTTATTTTATACATCCTCAAAGTAAAGAAAAAGTTTATATAATTTTAGACGCTTGTCACATGATAAAATTAATTCGTAATTCATATGCTACATCTAGAAACATGCACGATTCTTACGGTAATAAAATAGACTGGCAGTATATTGTCCATTTAGTGAAACTTCAAGAACAAAAAGGACTTTAAGCTGCTACAAAATTAACTAGACGTCATTTACAATGGCAAAGGGAAAAAATGAATGTCAAATTGGCAGCACAAACTTTAAGTACTAGTGTAGCCAATGCGCTCGACTTTTGTGCAATTGATTTAAAATTACAAGAATTTAATAATTCAGAAGCAACATCATTATTTATTAGAAATATCAATAACATTTTTGATCTGCTTAATAGCAGAAACTTATTATGTAAAAATGAAACTCAAGAACCAATTTCATTATCCAATATAGATCGTATTAAAGAGCGTATTCAAAAGTATATTGAATACATAAATGGATTATACATTGATGGGCAACATATTTTTAATACTAAAAAAAAGACTGGTTTTCTGGGAATATTAACTTGTCTATTGGCTACGAAAGATATATGTGATACACTCATTGTGACAAAAAAAATAAATTTTTTATTAACATATAAGATGTCTCAAGATCATTTAGAAATGATTTTTTGTGCTATTAGAAGTAAAGGTGGACACAATAACAATCCAACGGCTAAACAATTTTATTATGCATATAAAAGACTTATGTGTCATACAACAATAACTATTTTACCGCATGGTAATAGTATTGCACAGGACAATACAACTATACTAAACATAAGTGAAAGTATAGATAGCGTTCTTGAAAAATCAATAAAAAATGACAATGAGGAAGAAGTAGAAGATGTGTTTATTAACAATGAATGGTGTATGTCAAATTATATTATAGATGTGGTAACATATATATCTGGCTTTGTTGCCCGAAGAGTAAAAAAAAAAATTAAATGCCAAATTTGTAAACATTTATTGTTTGGCACCGATAATATGTCAGCTTTACAAAAAAGAAAATGCAGAGGAGGTTTAACTGCAGCATCAAATGATGTAATAAAAATCTGTTGCATTGCTGAAAAAATAATAAGAGGGTATCCGAACATATTAAAAATACAGTTTCCAATACAAAAAATGATTGTAATTGCTCTTTCTCAAATAACATCAAATATATTTGATAATGTATTACATATGCTGGAACAAGCATCATTACAAGATCATAGGACAAGTGTTATAAAACTCATTTTATATGTATACTTTCAATTAAGATTACGACATATGTGTGCATCCAAAAATTATAAAATAGAAATAATTAGAAGCAAACTTAATAAACTAATCCTCTTTAAGCATCAATAAATTTTAACTTTATAAATTTGTTTTTATTTCTTATCTCTTTCCCGCATGTTACATACCTCTAAAATCGATTTTTTTTTTACAAAATATAGTTGAATTTAATAGTTTAGAATTATTTAATAAATAAATAGTATCTGAATTAAATAAAATAATATACTGCGCATATATATATATATATATATATATCTATATAATTATATTTTGTTTATATGAAAAATATACGTATAAACGTTAGAAAAAAATATAATAATTTATTCATTACACTTTTTAATTTTTGTATTTTCTTAATTTTGCATTACACTCAAAAGCTCAAAACAGTAAACTGATTATTTTTCTGTATGATAGAATGAGGTTATAACTATCTCATTCTATCTTACAGTCTTGACAGCATCGGCCATCTTGCCGTAAGATAAAATGAGATGGTAAGAATCCAAACGCACTATCTCTCTCAGTCGTATTCTGCCAACTTCCGGCTTCACGTCGCAGCTAGAATGCTTGGTCTAGATATATATGTCGTAGGATAATAAGCATCTTGATCTAGCTTTGACCGTGATAGGCTTTGCTTTGTGCGTCCTTCTTTCTTGTTATTGTTTAACAATTGTACGGTCGTAAAAATGAGATTCTATTATTTGTTTAGGTCAATAACTTTTTGAGAGTACTGAGTAATTTTTATCGGTTTTGCGCATAGTTCTCGAAGAGTACCGTTGAAATGTATGATGACTGAAAGCGATCGTACCAACGGTTACTGAGATACACTCACTATAAAAAATATTGAACTTCTGCAATATGATGCTATACATATATTGCAAACCGTAGGTCCAGTTGCTTTTGCATCTAATAATTTTCGATAGAGCTCCTCGAGAACTATAAGAAACGACACTCAGAACTACTAGGACATTCAAAAAATTTTTCGATATGTTACTTGGAAAAAATAATATAATATAAAATTTTTTAGAGTACTGAGCAGTTGTGGTCGGAGTTCTGGATAGTTCTCGACGAGTTCTGTCGAAATCTATTAGGTGCAAAAGCGTTTACACCAACGGTTTGCAATATATAGCATCATATTGCAAAAGATCAACAGTTCTTATAGTGAGTGTATCTTAAAAACCGTTAGTACAATTGCTTTGAGCCCTTAGACTTTTCGGCGGAACTTCTCGAGAATTATATGAAACGCTACAAAGAGCTACTGGATCTCTCAGAAAATTTTCAGGTGTAGTCCATGAAGATATATTTAGGTCAATAACTTTTTGAGAGTACTGAGTAATTTTTATCGGTTTTGTGCATAGTTCTCGAAGAGTACCGTTGAAATGTATGATGACTGAAAGCGATCGTACCAACGGTTACTGAGATACACTCACTATAAAAAATATTGAACTTCTGCAATATGATGCTATATATTGCAAACCGTTGGTCCAGTTGCTTTTGCATCTAATAATTTTCGATAGAGCTCATCAAGAACTATAAAAAAAACCACTCAGAACTACTGGGACATTTAAAAAATTATCCGATGTGTTACTTGGAAAAAATATTTAGATCAAAACTTTTTGAGAGTACTGAGCAGTTGTGGTCAGAGTTCTGGATAGATCTTGATGATTTCCGACGAAAACTATTAGGTGCATAGGCGATTAGACCAACGGTTTGCAATATATAGCGCCATTTATCAGAAAATCAACAATTCCTAGAGTGAGTATATCTTAAAAACCGCTGGTCCAATCGCTTTGAGCCCTCAGACTTTTCGACGGAACTTCACGTGAATTATATTAAACGCTACAAAGAGCTGCTGGATCTCTCAGAAAATTTTCCTGTGTTGTTCATGAAGATATTTTCAGGTCAGTAATTTTTTGAGAGTACTGAGTAATTCTTATCGATTTTCAGCATAATTCTGGATGAGTCCCGTTGAAATGTATGATGGCTCAAAACGATCGGACCAACGGTTACTGAGATACACTCACTATAAAAGTTGTTGAGCTTCTGCAATATGTTGTTTTATCTTGCAAACCGTTGGTCCAGTTGCTTTTGCATCCAATAATTTTCGATAGAGCTCATCGAGAACTATAAGAAAAACAATTCAGAACTACTGGGACATTCAAAAAATTATCCGATGTGTTACTTGGAAAAAATATTTAGATAAAAAATTTTTTGAGAATACTGAGCAGGTCTGGTTAGAGTTCTGGATAGTTTTCGACGAGTTCCGTCGAAAACTATTAGGTTGAATAGCGATTACACCAACGATTTGCAATATATAGCATCATATTGCAGAAGATCAACAGTTTTTATAGTGAGTATCAGGGAATGGAAGTAACTCGTTACTTGTAACGAAGTTACAGTTACAAGTTACTTTTTTGGTAACTTTACTGGTAACTGCGTTACTTTCTTTTTTTGGTAACTGTAACGGTAACGAGTTACATTTTTTGGGTAACGGTAACGAAATTTACAGTTACTTTTGTCGTTACTTTGCACACGATTGAACACGGTTCGATTGGATACATGCTATTTATAGCTCTTATCAATAAGACTTGAAAGCCCTTAGACATTCGGCCGTTATGATTCAGTAATTATTTTACACTTCTATCTTCTATGTAATACATAGGACATACAAATATTTCAGTTTGCTGCATATTTTACAGGTTTTAGAATTACAAAAGTGTGTTTAAAAAAAATTAAAAAATAAATTAAGTAATAGTAAAATGAAAAGGGCTATGAACCCAAAAGCGAAACAGTTTAAAAGACGATGACAATAAATGTCGAAACGTCGTTTGTTTTTATCTTGTTTTATCTATGTATTGTTCTAATATATATTTATACATTTAATTACATTGTCATCGTCGTTCTTATCGGAAATAAACTGTTTCATTATTGGCTCGTAACCCTTCTCATTTTACTTTTATTTAATTTATTATTTGAGCCATTCTACATTGTTTTTTTTTTTTTTAAAAAAAACTATATATTTGTCAGTATTACATATAAAAAAAAAATGCAAAAGTACATTTTTAAATTGATTTTAAAAAAGTAACGGAAAAGTAACGAAAAGTTATTTTT